GGGCTGGGCTGGGCTGGGCTGGGCTGGGCTGGGTGGGAAAGGGGCTTCTCCGTTTGGTACATACGGTCCTCATCCGTGCTTTCTGTATCTTCCACCAGTGTGCAGTCAATGAGTGAAATCACACCGCCATTCTGGAAAAAGCATGGGGATGCCTCTCATATACCACTGCTCCCAAACTCTCCGCTACACCCCCTCTGTCCCACAAAAGAGAAACTGCTCGTTCACCCAATGGCCTCCACCAGGGCACACACGCCATCGAATCAAGGCCGTGGGGGAGTCCCCCTTGCCGTGCAGTAGCTTCAATACGTATCGTGTGACCTTCAGTCTTGGAGGCTGGAGAGAGATGCCCCTCCCTGGCGCCAGAGAAGCCTTGCTGCTTGATGCTCTGCCTCTCTCACCTTCGTCAAGTGAAGCTTCCCTCCAGAGCCTCGAGTGCAAATGATCAAGTGCTTGGAGAAGAGGAAGCACTGCCTCTCACCCTCCTTCCTCAGGGACAGGGAGCCCAGGCGTCCACGCGTCACCTTCCCCTTCTCCGACATCGGCACTTGGATGAGGGACCCTGTGGGAGAAGACGCACTGCTGCCACAGTGCTTGGTCTGGGGGACATCCGCTCCTCTCAAGCACCACATAAAGGCGGCAGGCAGTGCAGACCCGGGTGGCAGCTGGTGGTGGGGGACACCGTGCAACTGAAAACGATGCCCGAGGGCTGTGGATTCAGAGTGGGTCTGCGTGGATGGGCGAGGAGCATGAGAAGCACAGGACTAAAAGCTTCCCACAATGGTCCCGCAGGTCAAGAGTGCAAGTGCGCCGACCCTCCCATGTGGGCTTCCCAGCTGTTGACATGCAACAGCAGACTTTGTTATCAAAGGAAAGATATAGCTCACCTAACTAGTAGCCCTCGTGAGCTTTTCCCCCATGGATTAATTTCATGCCCTTTAAGGAGAATGGTTGGTCGTTCCTCATTTCTGGGCAATGTTTACAAGGCAGCCCAGGAAAGGAATCGGGTCACTCCTTGGGGTGGAGTGCAGATTCCACAGCTTAAGTAACCCTTGTCCTGAATCTCCCAGCCGTCAACTTCTCTGGACAAGCCCCTAGTCTGGGGTTATCTGAGCAAGAGGAACAGCCAAGCCCCTTTTGGAACCGCTCTAGTTCTCCAGGGCGGCCCTTTCCTGGAACATTTCCAGCTCTTTCCTGAGGTCTGGTGACCAGAGGACAGAGAAAGCTTCCTCTGCAAGGCTCCCTCCGTCCCATGTGCTACCTTGTCTTACAAAAGTCTGGCTGGTGTCCAGGAGGATCTCACAGCCTTCAATAATCATCCGCTCAATCGCCAAGTTCTTCCGAATGTTTTCTGTTTCACTGACTTCATCGTGCATTATCCTACACAGGAAGAGATCAGGGTCAGCCTGAAACCAGAACTTTTCTTGCTGGGACTAATGGACAGATGACTAGAAAAGACCTTTGGATGATGGCTTTTGTACATGGATACTGCAGCACGGTTATTCTATATGCACAGAGGTGGAAAGACTCTGAAATAGTCTTCAGGAGGAATCCTGAAGATGGCAGGATTTGCAGAAACGGCCAGATTGACTTGCTTGATCGGGGAAAAGGCAACAACTACATTTCTTAGTGACTGGACATTAGAAAGGGTAGAATATGGAAAGAAGGGATCCACGATTTAACTTTAGAGTGAGAGGATAAAATATAAATGCATTTACTGCTGTAAAGAAGATTGGAAGCTGCTACTTCATGTCTTTTTTTTCTTTTCTTTAATTTCTTTCCTATTTACCTATCGCTTTTCTATTACTTGTCTTTTTTTCTTTACATTTGTAATGTTTTTACTTTGAAAAAAACTTCTTTAATAAAAATTAATTAAACAAAAGAAAGGAAGAGATCACGGTCAGCCGATCTGACCAATGGCTGAGCGTTCCCACCTTGTCGGGGCTTGCTGGACGCCCGTCTGAGACAGCAAAGAGCTGACAGAGAACGGCCGAAGCGTTGCACACACGGACGAACACTAGCCCGGGAGCAGCCCTTGGGGTTCCCGCTGCCCAGAATCCCCAGAGGCAAGGGGGGCAGCTCTTCTGCGCCCTCCCCTCAAAGGGAAACCGGGGGGCCACCGGGCCCTCTTTGGGGTGAGCGAGGACGAGGGGCAAGCAGCCGTCAGCTCTTTGAGGGAGCTGAGCTGCAGTCGGGGATGGGGCTTGACCAGACTAGTGCTTCGTACAGTCTGAAGGTCTGCAGAAAGCATTTTCCCTCCCTGAAAGGCATTTGGGAAGAAACTTCTCCGCATTTCTAAAATAACATATGTTGCCTTGTCATTATCTGCTTCACACATCCTGTACTCGGTGTCTCTGCTTAAGTGCAGATGGTGGCTTATTTTTCCCAAAGTGGTAATTATACAAAAAATGTGAGAAATTCAACATTCCTTAAAGATGATGAGATCTTCATATCACGGGGGAGCCGTTTCTCGGATCAGCTTCACCAACCTGGTGTCCTCCAAAGACACTGAATTTTAGCTCCTGGAAGACCAATGCCTGCAAATTATGGGAACTGTAGTCCAACCTATCTGCAGGGTACCAGCCAGGAGATGGGTCTCGGATGGTTGTGATTGCGTTGGTGTGCATACAACGCATAGCTCTCATGAGGATCAGCACCAAAACTCTGGGCAGGGTAAACAATTTCAGAGGAGGAGCACTTGGGGTCAGGAGCTGGACCATGACCCCTTCCCGACTATGGAAATACACGTGGATTTTAATGTCCTAAAAGGTACTGTCAGAGGGTTGCTTCCTCTAGAGAATCTCCCAAAAGTTTTGTTCTGCAGCTCAGAAAGTGAGGCAGAGAGTAGGGCGGGTTTCTTTGCGATGGGCGCGGAAAGGGCGCTGGGGGTGCCCGCAGTTCAGCCTCCCCCCTCCCTGCGAGGCAGCAATCGGCCCTTCTGACCTGGAGAGCTCCTCCAGCTTGGACTTGGCGTAATCCAGGCTGTTCCGCTCCACGTGCTCGTGGGGTGTGTGGGCCAGCAGCTCATGCAGCGTTAGGATGTACCTGGGGATCTGGGTGAGACACAAGAGAGAAGACAGCCCAGAGACCAAGTTGGTGTTTTGCCTTACCCAGACAAGGCAACCCAAACTTCGGAGAGGTCCGCTCCAGTTTGGCTGAAGCGTTTGTCTCCAGTCTCCAGCCTTCAGTTCAGCATGTCCAGGATACTTTACAATGGCTAAAAATGTGGATTTCTCCAAGCACCCATGATGAGTTGACTGGCTCGTATTAGTGTCTACGTTGCCAAACCTCTTGACCCTTAGACCCTGCAGCTTGAGGGGTTCAAAACAGCCTCACCTGAAACATGGGGTACGTCAGGAAGGTCTCCAGCGTGCGCTCTTCACAGTCAGGTTTGGCCTCATAATGCTTCAAGAGCTTATCAAAGTCCCGGTTCTGCTTGCAGTGGGCCAGGATCTGCAGGCTGTACTGGTGATTCCGCACAAACTCCTGGTAGATGTTGAGCATTGGCAGGAGGATGTCAAAGAGATCCGCTGCAGGCAGAGACAGGTGGGCACTTGAGCAGCGGGGCTGGGTGGGGAGGGCAGGGCTGGGAGGCAGCCACGTGTGTCCGCTGCAGAGGGGAGGCCCCGCTTGCCCGGGCAGAGCAAATTTGGTAGAGGCTCTGACTGAGAATACAGGGTGCTATTCCATCCCGCGTGTGTCCGTTCACATCTCTTAAAAATCAAATTGTGGGGCGGCTATTAGGACCAGGCTTGTAGTGAGGAGTTTCAGGTGACCTAATGCCCTCCCAGCTGCTCTTTGGGCTGATTTTTCCTGGGACCCTAGGCAAGGTGGAGAAAGTGAACCCCCACTCCTGACGTGCCACCGGCCCAATCCGGATCCCTCTTTCCCAGTCCTGTAGAGACACGACATGGGGGTCACTGAACTGGTTTGGGCTTATGTGAGGAGGGACAGATCAGGCTTCTGGACTGGGGACTGCCACAGTGGGGGCAGACCACCTTTCTAGAGGAGGGGGTCTAAAGTGCCCTGAGAACCAACCCTGTGGCCCTTCCTATTTTACCACCAACAAGGTAATGCTGAATAATGCCCCCTTCCCAGGGAGCCCTGCTGAATTTGGAAGCCGCAAAGAAAGGAAAGGAAGGGGAGAGAAACCTAAACAAAACCCATCACGAATCCCATCTCCTTTTTGAACCCTTTCTTCAACACTGTTGCAGCAGAATGGGGCGAGGGCGGAGGGACATGCAAAGGAACCAGACGGGCAGATGGCAACCTGGGCAGGAAACCTGGGGGGCAGTCGTTTTGCTTATCAAGTGCAACATATTCAAAATCAGGACAGTGACATCTGGCAGTGGCTGGAACAGGCACAGCACAGGCAGGCCAGATGGGGATTAGCCAGAAGAGCAGCGAACTTCATGCCAGCATCGTCTTCTGACCGATTCAAAGATGAAAGCATTTGGACTCAGCAGCGTGCGCAGATTCCTATAGCCCAAATGGCACCGTCTGCATAAAAGGGGCAGGTAGCCCCAAGTCTGGGGGGAAATCCAAGATTTGTAAAGTGCAACAGATCCTACACTCCTGACTGGTGGCAGGGGGAATCTCCCTTCCCAAAACCAGTTCAGGGTACACTTTGAAACCCTCAGTTTGCCTGAAACGGCAGCCTGGCCACGAGGAGGGGGAATGCAAATGGAATGGTGAATCCCCCACCCACCGCAGATGCCTGGAAATCAGAACCATATCGCTTTGCTGCAGGTCCTACTTGTTTGTTTTAATGTAGAGCAGAATAAACAACAAAATCCGTTACACTCACCAAGCACCAAGGTTGGCCAGCTAGAGATGCGTGCTTTTAAGCCCTGGTAGAAGATCTGGTGTAAAAACATGATGGTTTCACTAAAAGAGAAAGAGATATGGGCCAGGAAGTTAGGAACTGGAAACCAGGCACAGGAGGGGGGTACATTTGGTTCATCACCTATGAAAACTCATTTTGCTGCAAAGAAAATGTCGACTGCCCACAGGCTTTTCATTACCACATGGCAGAGGAGGAGGAGAATAGGACTGTTTTTCCTCACTCAGCTCTTCTGAACCAAAGGAAAATTATTCCCAAATCATAAAGACCGGGAGAGCATCACCTGCTTACTAGCAGAATGTTACAAACAGATTCAGCGTGTCACAGATTAACTGATCCTTTTCATCCCGCTTACAAGCCTCCACAGAATCATGCGACCGTAGGCTCGGAGAGGGCAACTAAAGCCGTTGGTTCCAACTCCTGCTTTGTCCAGGAATCCAGATAACGATCAACTTCAGAAAGCAGTGAATGCTCCACTTAAGTACTTCCCACCGCCTCCATGACTGGTTCCCCTGTCAGATGGCTCGTATGTTTAGGAAGTTCAACTGGAATCTGCCTTTCTGGAACGTAAATCCATTATTTCATATTCTATCACCTTGGGGAGTGATAGAGGACAAATCTAGGCCTTCTTTGGAGAGATCCTCGCGAGAGAACTATCCCTTCTCCATCTCCCCTCCAAAGGCTAAACAGTTCAGCTCCTCCAGACAGACTTGGAAGGCCCTAGCTGAACTCAAGGCCCTTTTCTGCTCAGCCTTGATTCCCTGCTCTCAGATTCCTGAGGAAGAGACTGTCCTCCTTAGCTCTGGACAGGAGTGGGGCACATCTGGCAAAGCTGCTGATTTTTTAGAGCTCTCCCTCCCCAAGTTCTCTCACCTGGCTTCCCCGTATTCTTAAAAGTCAAGAGGCAGAGCACGACCTGAAGGCAGGCATCCAGTTACCTTGTCTTTGGAGAGGTTTCACAACCTTTGCAGGTGACATTAAAAGCAGTGGCTTTTCTTAGCCAGATTTGGTCCACGTTTATTCCAGCTCACCTGTTCAGAAAGATGCTGCTGACATCATCATGCGTGATGGGGGGCTTTTTGGAACTGGCAGCCATTCTCAGCGGGCGCAGGAAGTTGTTGACAAGGATGTGCAACTGCTGCACATACTCCGCCTCGGCTTCCAGCATGCTGAAGACCACCTGGTTCCTCTTCCGCATGCTGTCAGCATGAGGGGAGCGGATGTAATCCTGGATGATGGTCTTCCACTTCCTTCTGCACAACCATCCCCGGAGAAAACTCTGGACCTGTTTTCAGAGAGGAAATTATTGCCTGTCAGATGCAAACCCAGATATTTCCTGGAATCTATTATCTGGCAGTCAGATTCTTTCCACAGGAAATCTTCTTCTTGTTAAATGTCTGTAAATTATTTTTCTTTTTTGAACATTGATCCTCCAAAGCCTTGTATTCTTTTCATCAACTGTCTTACTGCAGTTTATGGTTCTGTGATGGTTCAGCATCTGAATAACATTTAAGCTTATACACCTCTCCATGGCTTTTGAGGCCAAAATTTTGTTCGTCACCTTGAATCTTTTCTGCCAATATTTCTAAGGCAATGATCAATAAAAGGGGAGAAAGTGGGAATCCTTGCCTAGCGCCCTTACTTATTGGAAAGTCTGTGGAAAGGGCTCCGTTGGCCATCGTCTTTGCCTTTTGCCATTGATACATACTTTTAACCCAGGCTCCAAATGCTTCTCCAAGATTTATGGTCTTCAATACTGCAAGTAAAAGTGGCCACTGCAGGTTATCAAAAGTTTTTTCTCCATCTAGGAAGATTAGTGCTGCCTTTTTCATTATTATTAATATAGTCTATTGTAGTAATTATAAACTTGCTGTTGTCCTTAATGTTCCTCTCTGGAATATAACCTGTTTGATCAATATTTCTTTAGCCATTAAGCTAATATGGTTGTAAACATTAACAGCTTATATTCACAACAGAAGTCTAACAAAATTTAAGCAAGAATGGCTTCCATACGTACTATATATTATGCAGCAAGGCAAATACAGGTATCTGGAGTATGGTTTTTAAAGGGAAAGAACTGACTAAAGAATTGAAATCACACCAAAAAAATGTAAATGTCTATAAATATTGTACATTAGTCAGAATACAATAAAAGGGCAGCTGGAAACTAATATTTATCTACAATGTTTTTAGTAGTTTTGTCTTCTTCTTTACTATATTTTTAAGCAACAAATAGTGGAGATTTTGGCACTTTGCTCAGACATTTAAATTCTTACTTACATTGTTAAAATAATTTAAAATACTTAAATGTAATTTAAAGTTTTTATGATTATTTTTTGTTCACTTACCATTGTATTTCTGTATCAATTAATTTTTTTCTTTTCTCCTTTTGCTTGATTGTTCACTCTTTTTTTTTCTTTTAGAAATTATTAATAAATTTTAAAGAGAGAGAGAACGCGCGCAAGGGGTAATTCTTTTCTATCAGTGATTGGGTACCCTTCAGGCTGGCAGAGACATCTGGAATTGGGAGGGGTTGCCAGACTCTCTGCCACAGCATGGCTGTCATGCAGAAAAGGACTGGCCTACGCCCAAACTCACAGGCACCATCAGGAGGACTGGTCCAAAGCATTCCTGAGCAGAAGCTTGCATTTCCCACCCATCCTCAGGATGCTTTCTTACCACTTCAGCCGCCTTGACCTTTTGAGTAAAACATTAGACTGCAGCTACCCCATTTTCAATTTCTAGGAACATGAGTGGGGCTGATGTGGGGCCAGAAGCATTTTTAAAAATCGAGATGATGCCAGGGGCCAGCGTTTGGTTTGGCTCCACAGCAGGCCAGTTTCTATTTATTGGTTTCGTGACTAAACGATCCTAAGGGGAAAATCAAGTCATGTGGCACAGCAAGTCTGGTGCTCACTCCAGAGGTACACACTGGAGGCCACAACTCCCAGAGCTCCACCAGTGATGGGAATGACTGCGTAAAGCAGGCCAGCCCAATCTTCCCAAATCAAGAGTTGCACTGGAAGGCCATGTCCTGGAAGTCTCCCATGAGATTCTAGTAGAGAAGATGGCAAAAGGTGGGCTGGACTACACCACCACTGAATGGATACAGAGCAAGTTGAACCATTGTGCTCCACAAATGCTCCTAGGGCTGGTTTTAGGCAGCATGTTCCCTGGGGGCTCAAGCCCTTCACCATCACCCGGACTGAGGATGTGACTTGAAGCAGCGTGATGGACCTCCCAGGAGCTGCTTTCCACCGGGGACTTCTGAGATGTTGCTGAGTTTGTGCACTAGGGAGGGGGAATTTGGGCTTCCGGACTCTCAGTTTGTGAGGGCGTCCCTGTCCCTGGGTAGGTGGTCTGTTGAGAAGGATGTCTGAGGCTGTTGAAATCCCCAAAACCTTTGTATTAGAAGGTTTGGGTTCTTCCTGAATGGCCCTGGCAGGATGAGGGTGAGGGGCCACCTTGGGGGAACTGGATCTGGGTGGGCAAGACAGAGCGGGGCACATGGGAACCTGAGCCTGGACCACACAGGGAAGGCACTTTGGCATCTTCAACTTCTCCCTCCTCCCCCACCCTGCCCCCAGGTCAGTTCTCATACTGGGAGCTGGGTTCCCAAGGGCTCCAACTGCTGTTATTTATCCCCACCCTGTCTGTAATAAGACCTTCCTCGTCCAGGATTTGATTACGAATGAGGGGGCAGACCTAGCCTGGGTGGGGGAGGAAGGAGAAGTTCCTGCCTTGGATATCTGCCCACCCAGTTGCAGGTCTGGCATCAACTGCAGTTCTTGGGCAGAGGAGGGTGGTGGCTGTTGCCTTCTGCAAGGCTCTGTTGGCATCAAAGGTGCCACTCCACAGATAACCAGATGTGAGGCCTTGTGGCGCCAGTTGGGCTTGCTGCTTTGTACTACTCCCCCTGCCACACAGTGACACCCCTGCCAGAGCTCCTCAACCTGATTCCTGAGGCGGCAGAGGAGCTCCTCTGTCTGCTAGCATTCCCTCAGCAAAGGTCAGGAGTGGGCCAGGATTTCGTGGCTGTCATGACAACCTTGCACCTGACCCAATTCACCAAGGGTCCAATGCACATGGCAGATCACACATTAGATCTGATTTGAAAGTGGAAAGCACTGGAATTCACCCCTTGTCAGGACAGATCACTCTCTAATTGTTGTGGTGCAATTCCCCCTCTGCAGTGAGGAAGGACCTATTGGGTTGGTCCACTCAGATGCCTAATGGATGCTGTTGGTTTTCAGAGGGCTCCTGAGGAGTTTCCCAAGGATCTGCTGAGCAGCTTGGCCAAGACTCTGGTTGCCCTATGGAATAAAGGGCATCTGAGGCCACGTTGCTCCAGAGCGGGCTCTCCCTGCTGCAGCCCGTGGATTAGAGAGGAGCTCAGGGAGATCAAGTGGCAGAGGAGACACCTGGCATGTTGCTGGAGGAAGTCCCGTATCGTGTCTAACCAGACACTGGTACGAACTCAAGCCTGAGTCTGCACATTGGCAATTCCAGTTGCAAAAGAGAACATTCATCACTCGTTTTGTGTCTGCCAAGTGCTGCCCAGTGGCCCTTTCTAAGGTGCCTCGTTCCTTTTTAGGGAAGGATGTTAGCTAGGACCGTCTGAAAGGATGCTGCAAAGAATTTTTGGTGGGCAAAACCACTCAGATCCAGGGTAAGCTGGATTCCAGCTGGACAGTGGGGTCACGTCTTATGAAATGATCATTTGAGACTGTGAGTCCTGAGGAAGTGAACAGAGCCCTCGGCAGCGTTAGTTCTGCCACTCTTCAGTGGAATCCCTGCCTCTTGGATGGATTAAGGCCTCTGAAGCGGGATCCAAACAGTAAC